CCCACCCTCCACACAATCCCCCCCTGTCTCTCGACTCCTCGCATCCTCCAACGCCCGTGCGAACGCCTGAGCACGCGGGTTAGTCGATGCCATAAGTCGAGCCCTCTCTCGCTCCATGATGTCACGTGCTGCATCCGGAGACCCCGTCGTCGTCTCTCTCTGGGGCTGCGTGAGACTCTCTCCAGCCGCGTCGTCCCTCGATGGAGCGCGATCCGTCGATGTCGCCCCGCTGCAACTAGGTGGAAGGCCCATCGACATATCTAAGTCCAGGTGGCTCCCTATCTGCGAATCCGAGATCCCCAACCCCCTCGCCACACCTGGAGTCATACCCGCCATGACCGGATCGTACTGCTCCGTGAGGAACTGCTGCATGAGGCGCTCATCGCCGCCCCCACGCGACACCTCCGCCTGTGCCCCTATCTCCTCCTCCACTGCTCCTGCTGCTGCAGCCACAAGCCCATCCAGTGGAGCTGCTCCTCCAGTTGCTCCTCCCACTTCTCCTCCAGCTGCTCCCGCCTGCCCCTCCACTGCATCTGCTCCCCCTGGCGCTGGTGCCTCCTCTGCTAACACTGAAGTTGCCAGCTCCTCTAGCAATGAAGCCGCTGCTGCTACAGCTATCTGGTCCACCACACCTGCAATCGTCGTGTCCGCCAATCCCCCCTCCATTGCCATCTCCCCCTCCACTGCTGCTGCCGACGGTCCCCCCTCCTCCTGCAAGACCCTCGGAGAAGGTGATCGTAACCTCAGCTGTCGGACTGCCCCACCTCTGTGGAGTAGTCCGCGCTGAGGCAAAGAGGACGCCAACTCCTCCGTGTCCTCTGCTGCTGTGGTCGGCTCATATGGTGCGACGGGCGATGGCGGTGTAGGACTCGGAGCAGAAGGTGGCAACACGGACGACTCCCGCCTCGTCGGAGCGGGGCTCGTCGCCCGCGCTCCTGTGCCGCCCGTGGAAGCGACCTCCCCGAACGGTCCCCACAACTCCTCCTCTCCCCCCATCATCTCCCTCTCCGCCTTGTCCGCCGCCGTCGTGCAGTATGCGCCCTGGTCTCCTCCTCGGGATCCTCGTGCGTCTCGTCGATCTCACGGGGAATGCGGAGCGCGGGGTGGTCCGCTGCTTCGGTTACGGGCTCCTCGTCGGAATCATCCTCCCTGGGGTAAGGACGGAAAATGGAAGCACGTCTACCGAATACGGCCTCGGCGGCGGGTGGTGCGGAGACCCCGATGGGATCCCGAGTGATAAGCGCAACCAAACGGGCAATCTCCTCCGGCGTCATCACCCTGCGCGTGCCCGTGTGCATTGGCTCCAACTCCAGTCCGGCCTAGCATGCCCTCGTCCCACTGCCATGGCAGCACATAACCACACCCAGCCCGCCGATACTCCGACAACCGCACATTCGCGGTGATCTCAAAGGCCACCTGGTTGCGCTTCTTCGTGTGAATGCCCTCGTGGACTGCCCAGTTCCTCTCCGCTGGAGAGGCGCAAGACCACATGTGCATCACACGAAGAGCGCAGCGCTGCAACTCAGGTGCGCCAGACCCGTACTGAGACCACCAGGACGCGCACTCAATCGTCTCCCTGTCGCCGCTGCAAGCACGCCCACGAGCACGCCCCTCCCCCCCTCCCCAATCCCCAAATGTGCCCTGCTGCATGTGAAAGTCCTCAAATTGCCGACATGCAATGATGTACTCCATACCATCCTCCTCGAAACCCGTCTGCGTCAAAATGTACCTCTTGGCTTGCCTCACAAGCCAACGAGGGTAATCCCTCACCTCGCCCGAAAAGTACTCAACATGTCGCCTGCGGGGGTTCAGTAAGAACCCCGCTTAGTGAGCAGGCTCCAGCATGTGTTGTGTGCGAGCCTGCACATGCCTGATGATGCGGTCAGCGAAAACCCTCCCCAAAGGAGCGCATGCATCAGTGGCACGGCTAACAAGATCCTGTGTCCACTCGATTATGAGGGACATGTACTGCCCCCCACGATCCATCCACCTAAGCAGCTCCATGACGGGCTGCATGATGTGGAGTATGGTGGCCATCGTGTGCCACCAAGGCTCCCATCTGACCTGCCGGCGCACCCAACGCGCCATGTCGCACACATCGGCAGACCACGGTATAGAAGCAAACTCCCGCCCGTCATCCCCTCGCATCATCGCCTGCAGAGCGTCCTGCAGGGCCAACAGTCTCTCCAACATAGAATAAACAGACGCGAACCGCGTCTCGCAAGAAAGCACAAGCCCCTTGTTGGGGTTGCGCTTCCTAAAGAAATGAAGGGCGGCTTGGTGGGTTTTGAAAAACACCACCAGAACACGAGCGAGTGTAATCGCATCCACAAACGCGTCGCAACTCGTCCCCATGTCTGACAACAATTTGTTGCAGACATGGACGGAACACGGAAGCCAAGTGATCCTCCTGAGTGCAGGAGGGATGCCCGGCGAGGCCAATGCCCTCGCAGCCCCCACGTATGCCGATGCGGAGTCTGTGCATATCGCATTGACCCGCTGCGGACCGCCGAAACTAAACTCGTGGAAGATGGTCACCCATCTCCGAAGGACGTGCACTATATCGTCCGTCTCCCCCTTGCGATTGATCGTCGTGTACACGACGACCCCTCGCGAGCCGGCGGCAAGGAAATTCACGATCGGTCTCCCGTCTCGTGATTTCCTCCCGTCAGAGAGGAGGGTGGCACCAGTGATCCAGAATGGCTGCCTCACCTCCTCCAACTCCTCCGCCAGCTCCTCACGGTGGGTCTCCACCGCCTGCATACTC